CAGGTCAGCTGAAATTGACTTCGCGACATGCGGGCGTTGTGACGATCTCCATGCAGACCAGTAGTGTCGAGCTCGAAATAGGGGTCCTCAATCGCCATCGCGTCCGGCATCACCCTTGCGTTTGGCAAAAGAAACTACTGTCGCGCCAGCGTCGATTGTAGATGAACAGCGAACACTCAATACCTGATCAGCTTGTTGCTGACATGTACACGCAAAGCTTCCACGGGGACCGTCAGCCGCTGACTACCCCACAAACTGGCGGTCTCGCCGTTTCCGTTAATGGGGATGTGCATCGAGCTGCTTGCTTTTCAAACTCAATCGCGCTCCAGACAGTCGGAGATTTCTTTTGCAGATCCCGCGATGATCGGAGCAAAGTCGCGCAACGTGAACTACAACCACCATTTTCAAGCCTCAAAGCACTGCAACAACCACACAATGCACAGAAGATGCAAGAGAAGACCTACGTCCCCAAGATGATACGGTGAATTGATACCCAAGGCTGAGACACATGACCGCGCGTTTCAGCGGAACGGTAAGCCTTAGCCTGTTCCTGGGCTAGTTTGCGATCTGTGCTTCCACACCTCACACCGCTTTTCAGCGAAACTTTGCAGGAGCGCAGCGACCGCATTTTTGCTTGAAATACCAGACATCCCTTCTATTCTCCTAATTCTTTCTTTTCTAGAACACCTTGCCCTTGACCGGTTGCTTGAAAGGAAAACGACGTTGCGAAACAGAAAGAGAAGAGGAAATGCCACCCCGAAGCGTGTGTTTGAATGTGTTTACGTCCAGTCTTGGCGATGGCAATGGAGCGGTGAACACTGGTCGACATTCCATAATGGACAGGAGGGATAGCGCGCAGAGTGGTATGTTGGAGTCCTTTTCGAAGTTGCAATTGTGCACCTTGAAATCGCTATTGCGATGCATGCTAACTTTGCAAACCAGACATTCCGAGACGGTCCTCTGACGGCTCTGTCGCATCGCAAGCCACACCACCAGCAACCACCTCACCACTCCCTGCATTCAACCGACCCGAACTCTTCCATTCCCTGCGTCCCATGGCCAGCACCGAAAGTCTGAACGGCGCATTCAACAGCAAACGTAAGTTCAGACTCCTATCTCCAGCTCCCATGTGGCGCGATGCAGGAACCCGATTTGATTCGCTGGGCTGCATTAGTGCGCATGTGGCGCTCCACTTTATCCCACAATTATCGCCGGCCGCCTTACTGGCCTCGCACTACAACACCACTTCACTTCATACAAAGTTCGTCGTTAGAGATGTCGGACTAACATGCAACAGCGTGCACAACATGCTCCGGCGAACCTGCACGCCGCCGCTGCTCCCGCTGCAAGGCAGCCTACTACTGCGACCGCAACTGCCAAAAGTCAGACTGGAAGACCCACCGCAACGTCTGCGAACCCATCACCCAGACTTACTCCGCACCTGCCACACCCAACTTCTCAAACCCCACCAGCCCCACGAACGAGTCTTGAAGATGCGACTGCCACGCCGCCGAACGTAATGAACGCTGGAGGAGTCAATAGAGCAGAGGCGCTGCTGCGAATGGAACGACGGACGGATGTGATATCAACAGCAATCACCTGCTACGAACTAATGATACGAATCGACTGGACTTGGGAAAACTGGACTGAGGCGTTTTTTTGTTCTTTGTTGTTCGTTTGATTGATGAAGGTGTTTTTGGGTGTTATTACATTTAGAAAGAGCGAAAGCATTCAGTTGCACTGCATAGCGAAACTAGCGAAATCATACTCATTCTTAGCTGTTTTGGAATATGGGACTTTTTTTGCGCTTTGCGATGTTTGTGATGGTTGACGGATCAAATTGCAGTCTTCGGAAGCATCGCTTCGCTTTCTCCGGTGCTTTACCAGGCTTTACGAGGCTTTACGAGATTCATTCCTTTCGGCGCATTCGTTGTGTATCTGACTCGCCCTCAAATATATACGCTCACCGCTCCTTTTCACGGAGTCTCTATCTCAGGCATACGTGGCGCATTCCTTGGTGCACTGTTCATGCAGCACCGTTGTTGCGGTAGATGTTGCATTCATGTCCTGATATGCTATGTAGCCGACTACCCAGTCTCCCAACGCCACGCGCGCCTTTTCCGACTGCCTCTGTATGTTGCTCGCTGGGGTCGGTCGAATCCATAGGTCGTTTGGTTACACGATTGTGATCTCCTGTTCAACGATATCTCCTATCTCATGTTCATGAAGGCTCTCAAACATGCCAATCCTTCGTACGATGCCTGGCCCAGCCGGGATTAAAATGAGACCTCGACAGACTTGCACGCGATCGTTATCCACTGTATGCCAACAGTGTCGTAGCGGCAGAAGTACTAAACCGACAAACATCGGCCATTAGAGTTGTTTGCCAGAAGTTAATAGGGTTGGTGAGAACTCACGAACGGTTAAAGGGACACTGCCGAATTCTTTGTAATCCCAGAAAAAGGTCGCTTGTGCCACTGAGCGCCGGCTGGAATCTACGATTTTGGTGGCTCGGTCAAAATAGGTTTTATAGAACCTTCGCAAGGGTGGTTCTGTCATACCACTATCACCATGGATGAGCGTAACCATCGGGTTGTCCTCCAAAAAGTCCTCCCTAGGTGTTACTGCAATGCTGGCAATTATGATCTTTCCATATATCTTGATAGATGCGTAGACCACTTCTCCATATGGAACTTGAGCGTTCTTAGGGAGTACTACCGCCGATACAACGTTGCAACAGTCTTCTTCTACTTTGTCATACACCGGAAAGATCCCATTAACGGAAGCCCAAGACCACGACGGTGCTCTGTATGGGCTGCCGGCATGTCGTTCTTGTGAATTGATGTCTGACGTCCAACACAGCTGCTTGATGAGATTGTATCGCCAGAGACCTGCATAGTAATGCCCGAGGACCGCAGAAAACGTTTCTGCCAGAGCTGCGATGGCAGGCAACTTGTCGCTTTGTAGGGATATGCTTCGACACGAATAATCTTCAACGATCTGGGACCACTCCAAAAGAGCTTCCTCTGGGTCGGTGCTAAGCTGGGAGATCAACTTCGGCACTGGATCAAACCAGGGATCCACGTTTAATGAGTCGTTCAAACTCATCATACTTGATGCACATCGCCACTCTAACGTATGCTTAGTGTAGGCCAGTATTCGACTAGCCACCATCTGTTCCTGTAATGCCCATGCCCGTGTACTCAGTGGGTTGACATGTTTGAGAATAGACGAACGTTCAACATACGGCCGAGCGATGATGCTCCCGAATCGATTCGGCGCTATTCGGAACGGTATTCGCGCGTTAGGAGCTCTGACTTCGTCACGATGTGCAAGAAAGCCGTGGGTCGCGTCGCTTGCACTGGAAGCCAGGATCGTAATATAAGCATTGCTATATATTTTCGCCATGGACCCGATCTCGCGGGCTTTGTCTTCCGCGTCATCTTGAATTATACATAGCGCGTCTACCTAGTATGGTTTCATTAGACATCCCTAGGTACGACAGGATGGGAGTACCCAACATACCCAAAGATAGCGAATAGAGAGTGCACGCGTGACAAGGACAGCATCCTTGATAGTTTGAGGTAGATCATTGAAGTCCATGTGCTGCATCAACGTCTCGATAGTGTCCGACCGCAGTTGCATTTGCGACCCAGATCCCCAACAATATGACAATGCCACGAATTTGTCGAAAGCTCCGTTCGTATCACAGATCCTTGCTGTCGTTACATCTATGAGACGTGTAGGGAGAGGAGAATCGATTTGCTGAGGACAGCATGGATGTTGAACGCAATCCCTAATCCACCTCGAGATCTGGGAAGACGTTTTCGATGGCGTCACATCTCGGTCCACATCTCGAGCGGTGACTTGTTGGGCGGCAAAATCATCGTGTTCCGTGAAGGCTTCAAGTTCTATGAAGTTCTTAGGCTCCTCGACTTTTCTAAGGCAACATCTGTAGAAGTTACTGCCTGGTGGCATGATGACACGCTTGTGGTCTGCGCTCAAACTCATTTCATAGGTCTGCGTAGACATCTCAAGCCAAGGAAAGTCTCGGTCGACCAACGAACACCACGTGCATCCAGTCCTGCTGCCTGCTTGAAGGTTCTCTTGAGTCATCTAATTTAATTGCTAGGTCAGCAACGCTGCAATCATTCGGTTGGCATTCTTGGGATTGTCGTAATCGCAATCCAAAAACCCTTCGTATCGTGGGAGTCATAGCATAGTATCCGCATACAGCACTCACGCTGTATTTGAACTCAATAATATCACCACGCCCCAGCTTCTCAAACCCCTCTGTATCAAAGCAGTTTACCCAGCAAAACTCGCAAACCAACGCCCGCACACGCTCGAGCGGCTCCGGTTCGCGCACCATCGTGACGGTAGGTAGCACAACGCGATCTGCGCACGGTGTAGTTATAGTTGGTGTGCCATCGTCGAATAAGTCGGGGTGGACGGCGAGAGGCGCGATGAGAAAGGAAGGCTGAACACAATCTTGCGGGGTTTTGAAGTTCGGGCGCGACTCACGTGAGATGTAGCGCTGCCTGATGCGCCATGCATCCGCATGTGGAAAGTGGCGTGTTCAGCAGCTACGTATGAGTATGTCAGATTTAAGCGTCAATACCATCGCGCAAGGACAAGTTTCCGTTCTGCGATTGTTATGAAGCAAATCTTGTACAAAGAAGCGCGGTGATATGGGAAAATAAGTGGACTAGTTGAAATCTCATTAGCATCGAGATTGAATGTCGTTCTTTGTTCAAATATGGCGGAGCAGCACGACTGAGGCGGAAGACATGTGGTAAGGCTGAGACAGCACACACGTGCCGCCCAGACAACATGACCATGCGGTAGTGGTCTGCCAGATGAGGGTATGACAAGGCTGAGGCAGCCAACCCATAGGCATGACAGTATGCATCGTTCAGTCGACACTACTACCCTTATGGGCTTCGCAGAATGAGTGCGCGCATATCATGCATTGTCGATCAGAATGTACTATGGTGTTCCTACACAACCTGGCCGTACGGTGCCCCACCATCAAGCTTAAAGTATCCCGGCTGCAAGTCCTGGAACACCCCACTCGGATCGTATTTTTTCGAGACCTTGTTCAGCCTAGCCACGTTTTCCGCGCCGTAGCCCGAGATGACAGGCTGGTAAGGACTACTATACGGCATGTACATGTAGTCATTATACGCACCCAGCTCCTTCGCCATGGCAACCGATGCGCTCAGGAAGTCTTGCGCTGCTTTTAAGACCACCTTGTCATCCTTCTCGTCCGTCCAAGACAGGTAGAACAGGGCGTGGAATAGAGGGCCGTCTTCTGGCCGAAGACCCAGCGCATTGCCGCCCTTTTTCTGCATGGCTGCAATGGCGGGTTTGCTGAAGGCTTGAAACGTGACACTGGGCGAACCAACGGGGATACCCGGCGCGATCTCGAAAAGATGGTCTGTCATACGCTTCATCAACTCTGTGTTTAACTTGAAGGACTGGGACCACATAGTCGTGCGGAAGCCGTCTGGCATGCTTTGGCTGAGACCAGGGGTTGTGTCGGCCAGACTGCAATTACGGGTGTTGTCGGTGAGTGGAGGCAATGCGAGGTATTCCTTCAGTATAGCGGGTGGGTTCGCTGGGTCGACCGGCTCGAAATACTCGTACTCAGTCGATGCAATCTTGACGCCACGAGAGTAAGCGACGGCAACAAAGTGGGCGGCCTTGGTATCGGTCTCAGCTGCCTCAACTGTGTTTCCAAACGCGTCGAACAGGGCAGGCGCGTAAGTTGCGTTGTACTGGCGTTTGCTCGCAAACATAAGACCTTGAGGTAGGGTTTCGTAGTTGAACGCCGTGATCACGCCGAAGTTGTTTCCGCCGCCGCGAAGGGCCCAATAAAGGTCTGGGAAAGTCTTTTGGCTCACAGTCAGGATGATACCCGAAGCGGTGACGAGCTCATATGAGGCAATGTTGTCACAAGCTAAGCCGTACTCGTTGGTGTGGTGACTGATACCTCCGCCGAGCGTGAGTCCGCCGACTCCGACATATGCCGCCTATTTGGCATCAGTAACGAACTCAAGGTATTGAATTTGATCATTCAACTTACTCGTCCACCAACAATGGCAAGATCGTAGGGCGTCAGGTAGTCGTAAACCTCCTTCCATCGGTTCCCAGGGCCAACGGTAAAAGTCTTCTTATCCGTAGAGAGTTTCTTTTGGTTCAGGTTGACCATATCGACAGTGATGCCACCTTCAATGCTAGATGCGCCGGGGAAGGCCGTATGGCCTCCGCTCTTGACTGCGAAGGGACATGTTGTGAGACGTGCGATCAGTACTAGGCTCGAGACATCTAGGGCGGTACTAGGCTTGAACGTGCAATGAGGTTCTACTTCGAGCTGCTGTATAGACCAGTACGTTGTTGGCGCAGCGCTGGATACCTTGGCCGCTCCAAAAACGAGCTTGAGGGAGTTGCACTTTCCGAAGCTAATTAGCGGAAGATGGGTAAGATTGGGTAAATGAGACCTACGGCAATGGAGCAGCCCTTCAAGGAAGATCTGGCCGCCAGACCAGCCAAGTCGGGGATGGTAGACACGTTGATGCCGTTGTCAATAAGAGCCTCCGTCACCTTGAAGTCAGCCGGCTCGAAGACATCCTGAGTTGATGCTCCAGCTGCCAACGCAAGAGCGCAAACGCATGGTTGATGGAAAAGCTTCATGGCCACTGGATACAGAGCCGCGCACCCAAGGGATTAAGATCGGAACTTGTGCGGCCTAGATGTGAAGGGACAGGCCATCGATCGCAGAAGACAAGCCTTTTGTAGTCGTATCCAAACCCGCGGGGCCCCCAGGGCGAGTAATGAGACGGCTATTACGGGTCTAGAAACGCCGTTGCGCGTTTTCTAGGCGATGTGCAGCGCGTGTTAGTGAGATCATATAAGCTGTCCAATCGCGAAGGTTCAGATCGTTACTTATGTAGGTGGCAGGCGGCAGGCCGCGAACCGAAATGCCCACAGTATGCAAGTCGCACATATTGCCTCGCGGAAGTAAGGAGCAAGCACAGTCCCTGCAGGATCCTGTACCTAGATGGTGCGACTTGTATGCCTGGCTAACTTTGAAGGGATTGCACTTTTGATCTTGGGTACTGAGCCTCTCTTCTTCGAGAGATATCTTGTGGAGCGCTGAGAACGATACGCATCCAAAGTGCATCTCTTCCGCCCATTATCGTATCCAAGACAGTTAGTTGACGCATTTTGTGAGGGGGGCAAGGGATCGGACTGCAAATGTTGATGCAAAGCGAGACGGAAATCGGGTTGAGACGGCTCGGTTCCGTGCTCCACCACTAGCGCCGCTTGGCATTGCGGCACGGTCTGCGGCTGAACCCAACCATCGGTTCTCCACGACTCTTTTAATCTATTATCTATCACTACTAAGACTCTAAGGATTACAATCTCTCTTATTTAATAAGAAATACCTTTGCGTATATAGTAGTTATGTATTTTAGGAGTTATAAGTAGCTTGTCTTGCTTTGTGTTATCGCAGTACTATAGATAGGATAGAAGAACTAAACTTTAGAATTGCACACCAAAGTGAGTCAACCGTGGAGGAATATAAAATGCGCACCTCTCCATCACCACCAAGTTTCTTGTACATACTCTGGGTCCGATCCTTTCGCTACACTCGCACCCATATGATTACAACTAGCGTGTATCAGGCAGGTGCAGATTCCAGCTCTTGTCCCGGGCGGTAAGCTCGTGGCAAGCCTCATTAGCCATTCGATAGCCCCGGCCCTGTCAACGCCGACAAGTTACCCCCTGACATCTGGAGTTGGGTCAGGGTAGGCTTCCAGACATCCACCGACGAACATATGCACTCTGACTGTCGCTTATCGATTCGGAACTTGAATAAGCAATGTGTGCGACATGCCGTCCGGAGAGCATCTTGGACGAGCAGTTCGCATCAAGCTTTTGCTACACTAAGAGCATGGATCCACCAAACATGGCGCGGCGACACGCACTGAGAGTCCGGTCAGCTGTGCCTCTTCCTTCCTGTTATTGCAATCAAAGTTGCCGCGACATGAGACTGCAATCCATGCACCAGGATTCTGGCACGTTGAGATCCACTGTATCGCTGGTACGGTCAAGAAGGATGACGGACGACTCTTATACCTGATGCTGGATGCACTGTTTGTAGCAATAGACCCCATTGTCTACCCGGGGCGTCCCTTCCTTGCCAGTACGTTGCCCTCCAGTTGGCACTACTCTTTCATTCTTCAGATTCACTGTTATGACTCTCTCTACTCACGAATTCAATGACGAAGGCTCGAGCGCATCGTTTCCACAGACAATGGTGCGGGTAGTCGGCTATGTATCCATCTCCATAGTGTCAGTGGCTATAATAGCCCGATGCTTGCTGCAGTATCTGCGACCGAGAAGAATAGCTGCACAAGACTGCTGCATGGCTTTTGCTTACGTTCTTTTTCTTGCGCAATGCATACTCTACATTGTCCTGTCGCCCATACGGAATAAAGTGCAGGAGGTAACGGAAGGCGAGATGCCACGCTACCCTGAGCTTTCTTATCATGTCTATCTCATCGGCAGACTCATTTTTCCTGCCTTGATGTTCTTCTGGGCCATTCTATGGACTGTCAAGTTGGGCCTGCTTCTTCTTTACAGGAAACTAACTGTCGGGCTGCCGAGGGTGTACAATCGGATGTGGTGGTTCCTTGTCGTTTTCTGGGTCATTGTGAGTTTCCCCCTACATCTTGACAAGAAAACCACTGTATGCCGACATGACAAACAGTCACTCATTGGGAACTATGTCGCTTTTCTCACATCTTGCGTATCACTGCACAGCTTCTTCTATGGATCTGGAGGTTGCAACAACAGAGTTAGGCAGTTCGTCAGCATTTGGTACTCGTTCGGTGCGGATACGATCACTAATATCATGCGTAAGCACTCTCGGCATCAAACCGCACGCTTCGAAATCGCTGCTGACGATCCCTAGTCATCGCATTTCCTTTGCGTCTTACGTGGAACCTTCAGATGCCGCGCACGCAGAAAACTGCTATCATCGTCTTATTTGCCAGCGCAGTATTTTGCATCTTGATCGCCACTCTACGCGCTGCCAATGTCACTGCGCATACTATCAGAACTGGCAAGACGATGGACGGTACATGGCTTGCAGTATGGAGTATGGCTGAGACAGCTGTCGGTAAGTCGCCTATGTGTCTTCTAGCTTGATCTGCTCCGTTGATCCAGTCGCTCAATACTGACACGAGTTAGCCATTTTGATCGGGCCCAGATGACTACTAGATCTCCGCAGATGAATCGGCAAAATCACGACGCATTCATAGGCCCTTCGCGGTCACAAACGCGTCCAGGCTGCTAGCCATTTAGGTGTAGTCTCAACCAATCAAGATGCTGCAAAACGCTTCCGTTCTGCTAGTAGCGTGTAGAAGGCATCCACGGATTCAGCGCTGTTCGGGCTAGCGAGAGGTTCTGCACCGCACATACTGGATCCAAGCTGTCACTTTAGACGCCGAGCGCTGTAACAGCACTGTCTTCAGAGGCAACGTATCTCCAGAAGTCTACTCTTCGTCCTCGTCATCGTCAACCACACGTCTCCGCTTCGTCCGGCTAACAACCACCTCATCATCATCGTCATCGTCTGTAGACGTCATGTTTCATACTCTACCGCCGCACTACAAATTCGTATGTGTAATCACCTGAGACCAGGTTCTCTTCATCGATCGTTGCGACTCAGCTCTACGTCTTTTTCACGACATCGAAAAAAGAAGCCAGTCTGACGCTAGTAAGCCACATTCACTTCGTTTCTGAGGTCCACACTTAGCTTGTTTGGTATATCATGGGTTCTAGCGCACTCCGCGAACTGCAAGTGACGCCGACTTCTCTGCAATAGCCAACTTCTCTTGATTCGCGTTTGCGATACAACCTAACGTGCTCTGGTTTCAACCACCCCTTCCATAACCTCTCCAAGCACCTCTCTAAGAACTTGCGGCTGTTCTTCCAGCGCACCTGCATCTTCAGGCTAACACAATCCAGGGCTTTACCTCACATAACCGACAGACTTTCGGTCAGCCGAAAAGATGAGCGCCAATCAGGACTACATGACGCCAAACGACCATCTCCAGCAGTCCCTCCAGAACACCTCCGCATTTGAAGTCCTGGGCCACTTCTGCGGTATACCCGCTGTCGGCTCCCCCCAACGACTCAATGAGGCCGCCGTCGTCTGCATCGACGCAGAGTGGTGGCAGAAAGAGCCCAAACCCACCACCGAGCTCGGGATCGCAGAGCTTATGCAGAAGGGACTAACCCCGACCATCCACGCCGAGAATATCCTCTCTAGCATCCAAGTCGCGCACGCCCGCATCATCGAAAACGCCCACCTCATCAACAGATTTCCCGGCGCTGGAGACCCTGATAACTTTCTTTTCGGTAAAACCAAGTTCGTTACCATGGAGGAGGTGAAACAAGTACTCATCAATACGTTTGTGCGACCGCGAGAATACGGAGACGGGTCGGACCTGCAGCCCATCATATTGGTCGGCCACGCTGTAGAGAACGAGTTCGAGCATATGCAACGCGCGTTCGGCGTCGATCTACTAAGCTACGGTACTGTCGTCAAGGTCATCGACACGCAGCTCATGGCGCAAGAGCTGGGCATCAAGGCGCCACGAGGACCGTTCATCGGCCTCAAGGATCTCCTCGCGCACTTCAACATGGTTGTACCCAACCTCCACACCGCTGGCAACGACGCAGCCACCACGCTCATGGCCGCCGTCTTACTCACCCTCAAGCCTTGGATGTACCCCGACGTCCCCGGCTCGCCACCCGCCATCGTCCAGGGTCGCAGTATGTCAGAGGTGGTGGCTGGAGTCATGGATATGGGACAGTCGTTGTCGCCGCCTCCGTGGGGTGAGCTTGTGTATTGCGTCCGATGCGATCACAAGAGTCATCTCGCCAAATCCTGCTACACTGCTCTGACCTGCCAGATTTGCAGCAACTCGGGTGTCAAGAGACTGTTTGGTGCGCGAAATACACATAAGACTACCAGGTGTATGTACCAGTACTTACCGATTCCGCCAAGGGACTATGCATTTGGTGGACAGTAGAACGAGGAGGTATACGGAGACAGAGGTGAGAGATGAGAGCAAGGAAACGTTTGAGAGGACTACTGGTAGAACACCCAGGTAGCTACGCAGCTACGAATAAAACCATCACACTGGCGTACAAGCCAGACCCCACCTCATGCAATAGAACACTGAACACCCTGGAGCCTGAATTAACCTTGGGCCACCTACTTTACATGTTCTCATCCTGATGTAGGCTCCAGATCTGTTCAAGTTTTCCATTGGTTGACGTGACCCCAGCCTTTTCCAACTTCTGCCTTCATCACCACTACATAGATCAACGGCTCATATCGACACTGACAATATCCACATAGCTACCCTCACACTTCTCCATCTCATGTGCTCAACGGGGCCCAAACGCACACGACCCCTCCATATGCGTCCCAGCATTCTTCCTCCTCCACTCCTGCACAGCAGCTTCGCACCTCCTACACTTCAGATCCGTATTGTGACACTCCAAAAACCCATGCTCACCACTCCCACACCCCCAGCAAAAGACTTCCACACCAACAGGCGGCGCCGGCGTGGGCCAGTTCATCAAGCTCTGCACCACAAACGCCGCAGACTTGGAACTTGACTGGCCCACCAGCCCCGGCTTCGCCTTCGCATTCTGTAGAGATCCATAGAGCTCGAAGCGGAGGGTTGAGAGAATAGCGACGATGGTGGCGTACATAGCTGCGTTACCGCTGTTATCGGAGTGATATACGGGGATGTTGAACTGTCTGAGGAGGTATGCGAAGTTCGCGTCTGCGTGGCGCGTGATCTTAGACTGTTGGGGTATGATTTGCGCATCGAGACTCGCTACGGTGGTGTCCAGAAGGAACGGATCGAAGTCGAACGCCGTCTTGCGCACCCTGCTGATGCTGCTGTTGGAGCCAAAGGACATGTATATGATGGGTCGGTAGCCTGCATCCTCATTCTGCTCGTCCATGGGCTGGCGCCAGATCTGCTGTAGTAGGGATAGAGCTTCTTCTTGGGAGACGTAGACCGTGGTGCCGAAGTGGAAGGGGTCGAGACCGGTGTCTGTAGAGTCGAGGTGCGCAGTGGAGCGGATGACAAGGTGTAGACACCATACTTGGCGTAGCAGGTCTTCTGCGTGCGGGCCAGCCATGATAGGCTGCCCTTGATTGATGCTAGATCGGTCGTAGGTGGTGATTCCAAGTTCGGTGAGGCGATACGGTGGGTGAGCTGACCATTTGCGGTGGAGGACGACGAGGACAGCGTCGCGAAGTAGGTTTGGAGCAGTGGTCGACCTTCCGAGGTATTTGTGCAGGACGTCTTTATCTGGAAGCTGGGCCAAGATGCCGCGGAGAGCTGCTAGCTTTGTTGACGTGGATTTTGACATGGCTTTTGAGCTGCGCGATGTCGATGGGTATCGGAAAATGAGCAGCAGGAAATCTGTGTAGGTGACATTTGCGTCTGTTTGACGCGACGCTTTGCGACGAGTCTAGTGCCATTGAAAATGAAGGTGAAGGTGAAAGTAGATGTGAAGATGAAACTGAGCTCGACTTACTACCTATTCTTCGCGGTCTACTGCTGCTCAGCGTAGCACGTCGACCATTCCCGTTGCCTTCGATTGAGATCATGCCGTCATTGGGCCATTGAGAGCGTAGCTGATCCAAGCCCGAGCACATTCGCGATTCTTATGTATAGTGAAAGCGTATGAACTTTGCGTCTCGTTGTAAGTTGATTGCACGTGCCCTCATACCTAGGTAGCTTGTGGCATTATTTGTTCTGGACCTAATCATCCACACGTCTGCGTGACGTAAAACAAACTGTGACATCAGATAGCAAGTATTAGGTCATAACAATTCATTCATGTGAATGTGGTTTCACCGCTATGATGGGTTCCTTCGTAGAGGCGACCTCGATGCTCTCTCCCGCGGATGAGAGGGGGGAAATTTCGGCTGCATGCTAGCCGGTAGCGCAGCCGCTACCCCGCATAGAGTCTAGCTTGATGTCCTCCCCGGGCCCAGTCCCCAGGCCACATGCAGCGCGTCCCCGTCATAGCTCCGCGAACCCTCAGAATCTGATGTCTCCAGCCTCATCATCGTTCATTGTCAAGATAGCCCGCCCACCGGACCACCAATATGTCGTCAGCGCCGCCCAGAACCGTGATTGATCTTCCGACCGAACTCATCGAGATGATCGGAATGAAGCTCATTGAAGATTCCCCACACAACGATTCGGTCGTACCAGTCATACCGCGATTACTGGTGCAGAGTCGCCAGGCAGTGTACAACTCCCGTTTAGCATGTCGGGTTTTCAACAACGCTTTTGAAAAAGTGTTTCTAGAAATCATACATGACATGCCCTTCCAATGCACCCAGGAGCATCTTGGCCGCTTGACGCGGTTATTGCAACTTCCCTGGGTGTCGCAATCGTTCAAACAGTTGACTATCGGTGGTGCCAAGATAGCCAAACATCGCACACAATGCGCCCGGACTGACTGGATACGAGGACACTTGATGGACACGTTCGAGACAATTTTGAGCCTTGCGCCTCGTTTGGAAAGTATCAGATGTGTTCCAATCTGCGAGTACTATGCGCCACACGATCCTCGGGGCGCTGCCGAGGACGACTCGGATGATGATGAAACACCCCGGCAACTCCCATCATATATACGCTCCTTTCCCTTCATAGACGTCTTTGGAGTAGGTTGAAGCACTCAAAACTTTCATCAACGACCCCGAAAGAAAGGCTGACAAGTCATCATAGCAACTTTACGCAGCAATACATGAAAGCGGACACGCGAAGGCCACGCGGTCTCTTTTGTTGAGATTCGACTACCAGGAAACACACAAAATGGAAGCGCCGTATAAGATCTCAGATCGCCGTGCAATACAGATCCACTCGTTTCTTAAGAAGCCATTGCCTCATCTCCAACACCTCATCCTCGACTTGGGATGTCTATCAGGGGCTAGATGCATTTATAGTTCGAGCCATATGCCAGCCCTCGAGTCTTTGACGATCATATATACCAAGGACATCTGGCTGTGGGAAAACATGGCTCTTTTGGCAAAGACGCAACCTCGACGGCTCGTGCTCACCAGCTACACATACGTGCCGGTCGAGAACGTTTCTTCTTTTATCGGTGCATTCAGTCACCGGCAGGGCCCACTACCGTGCTTAGAGTTGCGTGACATGGATGTCAAATTGGATTACCATCGTTACGAAAAGCCACCACTGCCAACACCCGAAGAGTTCTCGGAGGACTTCCGCATTGCAGAATTGAAGATTGCGAACGTGTCGTGGTATCGGCATGTGTCCAAGCGTCGCAAGTCAGAGCGCCGTGGCTGGTGCAGGACGGGTTGGGATTTGTTTGGTCCAATTTGTGATGCGGCAGATGTTGTACGTGTGAGCGTACGTGACGGGGCGGAGCGTTATAAAGAGGACTTTTTTGAACGACCAGTAGGAGATTTGGATATTGATGGTAATAGCATCACTGGTGAGACCGATTCAGATCGCAGCACCACCGAAGACGGAATCGAATATGACAGCGATTCCACAAACGAAGACGAAGACAAGAACGAGAATGGGGACGAGGATGAGGACGAGGATGAGGACGAGGATGAAGATGAGGACAACGACGAGGACGGAGACGGAGACGGTAACGGAGACCGAGTCGTTGACGAGGTGGCTTGGTCACGGGCTGATATGGCGCTACGTCGAAGCTATGCGACGGCTAGTTGGTCCTATAGGGGTGGCTAAGTCTGACCCAGTTCGGTGAAAGCTTCAACCTCCGCCAGGCTTCTTCAGCGCACCACCAAGAATACTTGGATCAAGCATCTTGGCTTCAGGCACGTCGACACCACATCGCACCCACATGCTGCTCCAAAGCGCACCGACTGCTCTTTCTTCGGGCATGAAAACGACTGTATTCACGTACGATCGTGTCGTGTTATAGCAGTCTGGCATGTTGAATAGTTGCGCCTCGCAGTTGTCGCCTTTGTTCGAATAGAACACGCCGCATCGCGCTTCGCTTGGGAGAGTGATGCATGTACCGTTCTTCCATGTTTCGAGGGGCGGTGGGAAATACGTCTTCTGTAAGAGTTCGCCGCGGCAGTGCTTAGGGCCGCCTGCACCGGAGTATGTGAGAGCGAGAATCGGTATTTGTGGAGTGGTCGGCGGTCGAGGCTTAGGCGCGACGGACGGTTTTGGCGTAGCGATAGGCCCCAAGACACCTTCAGCACTCCAACTCGCGCTCGTATGTGGTTCCGGTGTGAAGCCAATCATCCCGTCCTGTGTTTCGGTCATCGTGGTGGGTACGAGCGTCGCGCCAGACACGATGCTGCTGCCGTTGTACACATCGCCGCGGTCGAAGTCCGTGCCGTTCAACAGCGCCTTCGCCGCGACGATATCATCGCCATCTCCGACTCTTGCAGCTTGCGCGAGGTTGATCTGTATGATTGGTGTGGTAGGTGCGCGTACTTCGATGGCGGTCGCTAGCGAGATTGCGATGAAGAGGAGGAGGGAGACGGACGATGCGATGAGGATGATGCGCCGCGGTATGGACGACATCGCGGTGGTATTACATTACTTTTGGAGGATTTGGGAGGTTGAAGGGGTATGCGACAATGTCGAAGTTCGTGGGCGACGCCAAGGAAGCGTCGGGGGTTGCTACGCTACGCGTTTCATCCCCACGTCCTCCCCAGACATCGTCGCAGGCATGCAGGCAACTTTGCATACATACTTCCTTGACAGTTGTACAAAGATTCTATACTACATTCGGATGTACGATGTTACGCGAGTGTGCAATCTCGATAGAGCAGCGGCTTAGACCCATACCTGTAGGTTCAGTCAGAAATCCATCCCCTGACCTTTATACAGCTCGATATCAGCCTTTATGGGCTTTCTATGGTCATGTAGAGAAAGCTGCACTAACGATTCGATCTTGGCGCTCCAATGAAAAGGCCAACGGATGTGTTCCACTACACGAGAGAGCGAGAGATTCACTGGAATGACAGCGATTGGTCTAAGCTCACGACAATTCTTCCAGGGTTCGACGTGTGTACACAGACCACTCAGTGATAGCCTCCCGACTACTCGCTGTTGCCTATGCACTGCTATGTTCCCTGAGCGATTTGCATCTTGGTTATCTCCTCTGGCGACCATACCTAACCTCCCTCAACCAAGAGACTCATCTACATTAGATCATCACCACCGGTACCGACGAGCGACCTACACCAGACTTATCTCCCCTTCGATGGAATCAGGTGCGAATAACACCCCACCCTCGAATCCAGACATGGCTGCCGAGCTCTTAGACGCAAACCGACGAGCGCTAGCGTTAGCCCTCAAGAAAACTGACACCAACAATTCGAACACATCCGCCGCTCGACTTGAGATGATGAAGGCCGAGTCCAGGTTTCATTCGCTGAAGCGTCGTGGAAGGGCCTTGCGTTATGAAAAGGCTACTGCTGCTAAACAATACGGCCAGTCTTGGTGTCAAAGTCTCTCTCAAGGTCTCTTTGATAAGCGTCCTCGCGAGTTGCGAGATATGATCTACCATCACCTTCTCCCTCATTCGGCAGAAGTATCACTCCTGGGACAGGATTGGCGCGTTTCCTTCTGCCCTAGTCAGACGTTCGGCTCTTGGAACGACAGCGAACTCGATCCCATCCCTCATTATCTAACGAGTGAGTTTATGGGCACTTCGTTCCAGAAAGAGATCATGGAGGAACTTCACAGACACGCACAATTCCATATCTACCACCCAAACGACGTGGAAGAGTTTCTGGAATATGGCCTACCGCTAGCATCACTTCCGCTCCGGGCTTTCGACTTCGTTCGCTCACTCACTGTGCTGCTATCCTTTCAAGCCCATCAGGACGTCGATAAATCCAGATGGCGCAGAACGGGACAGTACGATCTTAGGCGAAACCCTGGAGGAGATCGCCAACACTTGGAATCCGTCGCTACCAAGCATACTTTCGAGAAAAAGGTCAAAGTACTTGCTGCCATCACCAAAATCAAGCAATTAAACAAGCTCGAACTGCACATCTTGATTCGCACCTGGACCCCTGTAGGAGCGAGAGGCTTCGAGCGAGCTCTGGTTCCTTTTGTGCACGATCTGCAAGACCGCGGAGTGAAGGTTGACGGGGAAGTTCAATCATATCGACGTGATTCCCGTCGTAACACTGAGATGTACTCTGGCTGGAAATGTGACTTTACCCGTCCGGGGTCGCGCTAGGAAAGCCACCGACTCATGACTGGTGCCTTCGTAAGTAACTAGCCTCGCAGATGTCTTGCATATGCTTACCATCAGACAGGACCGGATTTTTTCTACGTTGAACCTGTCGATGAAGTCGAAGCTCGATGATCTCGTGAGGTCTCGTGTTCTCTAGAGTTTTTATTCCTATCGCTCCGGCTTCTCAGCACAACAATGTAGTCTCCACGCAGAAATGTATCGTGAGACGGCTTAAGGAGTGTCGTCATGATATGCCACCGTATGGAGTAAACGCGCTCGTGGATCTATGCTCTCGTACAAGAGATGTTCTCACACATGGGACCAGCGATAAAGCGCATCTTTGACACCTTGAACAAGAATTATTTCGATTGCTACAGCATTTATTCTGGTGCGTGATGCCCTTGCTGAAAACACTGCATCATTCGGCGCCTAATTACGAAGTTGTTGTAAAACCGAGCGTGATATTTGGACAAAGACTAATCTCATACAAGGATGGGAAGCCGTGCGCGAGCCTAGCACTATGCAGGACACGGTGATACTACATTCCTCTAGTCTCGCTGACTCCTTCTAGGCTGCACCACACTGCACGTAGAAACACGTGCGCGTATAGCGCTCATACCTCTTGTCTTCTAGATCTACTATGCCGACTTGGGGAAACAGGTTTCTAGAGTAAATTATGAGGAGGAATTTCGAAAGGAGCGGCGATAGCAGCTTCGACCTGGCCTGCTGGCAGCAACATGCTCCGATCATAGGTAACTGTTTCCGTATCCCTCGGCTGGGGGTAAACGTTTTTGCCCCGATTTTCGTACGAAACAACGACGTTGCAATCCTTTTCGACAAGCGTTTGGATATACGGGAGCAGCACAGCTTTATACCTGTAAAGCGCAAACTTCGTCCGCACAATGACATTAAGCGTGACGCTCATTCTGGAAACTTGTGCTGTTGCGGCGAGATCGCCGAGCCAACTCACCTGGCTCTCGAAGGTTTCCTTCTTTAAATTGCCCTCTGCTGTCATATGGCGAGCTACCACATAGCCCCGAGGACGTTGGGAAAACTCCACATAGTCCCGGCCAGGTGGGACAAGATGGTCGGGGATGGATATGTCGACTGAAAGCGTTCGGAGGAAGTCGAGGGGTCGGCAGAGCGCATCTCTGAGAGGGCAAGTACCAAGTAGATAGGGAACGTCATCGACGTGCCAGACATTGTAGGAGGCGTACGTATTAAACTCTTCCGCGAGTTCGACCACAAAGTCCTTTCCCATATACTTCTCCCTGAAATAGTGCTCAAATTTGTTGTCAAGGCCGCGAGCCTGGCCGCGACGGTCACTGTGGTCAACGTGGAAGTAGTATTTATTCCCTTCGTTATAGGGCAGGTCTTTCTCGCGTTGAATGATGCTGACATCTGGAGCGCCACCCATGAGATGGAAGTAAACCATGTCTCGCACTTCGCGGGCAGAGAGACGTTCGAACATCTCGGCGGCGAACTGGCGGTTCAATATGCAGGTGTAGTCATCAGTTGACTTGCCGAAGTTGCTTGAAGGAAATACGACGTCAGTGATCAATCTGTGTTGTGCTGGAGGTTCACACTTACGTATTCAAGCTTCGCTTCTGGCGCTGGAGTTTGCTTCGCGTGCTTTGAAGTGCACTCAGCTTAGTCTCAAGCTCTTCTATCTCTTTGTCATTCGCACTATTCCTGCAATAGCTTCGTGAGCATTTGAGAACTGAGGATGAATGATTCACTTACAGCTCTTGATTATCCCTTCGTTTTTGTATAATGCTGCGCAGTCGTGAGTTACTGGAAAGCTGTTGTGCGCACATCTACGCCGACTTACAATGAAATTGCCTTAGCCTTGGTCTTGAGTGGATTTCGAGGGGCCATCTTGGCGGTCTCGCGTTATTCGTGGTATGGCAGGAGCGATTGGAGTGGAAGAGGTAGTTCAGGCGCTTTGAGTTGAGCTATATAAGAGTGTCACGATACACAGTCGACAGGTACCTGGTGGATAACGTGATGAAGTTGCGAGCTAAGTGGGCGCACGAGTACCACGATCTAGGCAAACACTGAGCTTGACGTACGTGCTCGCGTCGTGAATGATCAGTTCGGTCTAGTCACAATCCCTATCGCGAAAGTTACTAGGCTGGAGAAGGAAATGCTAGCCCATTAATCTTCGGATTGCGTTAAGAAAACCATAGCTCCAGATCTCTTCAAGCATCCCCACCCTCAGCCTTCTCCTTCGCCTTATCCAAATCCAACGGCACCCTAACAACAATCTTGCCCCTCGCCCTCCCCGTCTTCAACTTCTCAAACGCCTTAGGCGCATCCTCCCACTCAAACACCTCATCGACGACAGCCTTGACCTTCCCCTCCTTCATCCATCCTCCAATCTGGCTCAGCGCATCCGACGACGGCTTCGCCATCAACAACTGATAGCTGTTCTTGCCGCCGCCCAAAAACCCGGGTAACAGCATGTTAGACCCCACATTCTTGATGCTAGCAACGCTCATTCCCGCGCCGATTTGGACAAATTTGCCGGCTGGGATGAGGAAAGCGGATGCGGCTTTGTAGAGGTTGGGTGGAGTGCCGATGTTGTCGACGACGAGGGTGTAGGTCTGGCCCTTGGACGAGAGTGTTTCGATCACGTCGCTAGTTTTGTAGTCGATGACTTCGTCGGCGCCTAGGCTCTTGCACAGGTCGACGTTGGGGGTTGAGCAGGTAGTTGTCACGTGGCAACCCAGCGCTTTCGCAATCTGGATGCCGTACACACCCGTTCCGCCTGAGCCGCCATTGATGAAGACTTTGTCGCCGCTTTTGACCTTTGGCGCGATGGCTTGGTATCTGGAGATTGGGGTTAGCATGGCTTTCAGCTTCGTGAGTAGCCTGGCCCCGCCTTACTCGGTCAGCCCCACGATGCCGACGCCTGCTGCGTCTTCGACTTTCACGCCTTCTGGTAATCTTGCCAGCATTTGTCTATCCACGGCTACGTATTGCGCCATGCTTCCTCCCGTCAGCGCACCGACCTTTGCGCCAAACACGAATTCGCCAATCTGGTACTCGTCGACTTTCTTGCCTACTTTGGCGACCTTGCCGCAGAAGTCGGCACCGGGGGTGATGTCGGAGCCTACAAGCCGCAGTGGCATTGGCCCTTCAGTGACTTTGTGGTCGACGGGGTTGATCGCCATGGCGTGAACTTGGACCAGAATCTGCTCATCATGAAGCACTGGTTGTGGCGCGGCCTCATTGATTTGGAGGTTCTTCTCGATGCCGCCTTTGGTGCTGTTGTACTGCCAGGCCCTCATCGTGGACGCCATGTTACTGTTTGATCTGAACGGAGTTTGTCGCGATAAATTTCCGATAGATTTGATGCCGCCGATGCGCGCTGTCCTTGTTATCTTATAGCGTGGAAACAGGCGTGCGTCATGACGATTTGCGTTGAGCGGGGCAAGCGCCACCACCGCCTGTCAGCACGAGCTTTGTGAGTAGACACCCATCTATCGGAGCTTCATTCAGGCGACCGAAGAGATCGCGCAGATGGAGCCTGGGTAGGACACCTACATTGTGGAATCCATCGAGGTGGGTACGCCTCCTTGCCCAATGGGTTGGCTTACTTGCGCTCGGTCGATCAAGGGGCATGCCCACATTGTCACCTAGCCCGATCGGGCGCACTTTGCGCAGCGACAGCAGTCTCATCATGAGTTCCGGAAAGAGATCAATATCAAGATATGGGATATGAGCGCGATCATTGTTTGTGTCACGAAGGTTTTTTCAATTGATCTGTCCTACATATGATACAGGAGCTGGAGGCCTAACAGCCACAGCCCAGGCCGCCCTTTCGCCCTGCATGAAGCCTCTTACGCGTATGTAACGAACATCTGCTCAAAGCCAGTGACGTTCCACACGCCAGTAATTGTGTTGAGCGTCAAGTTGGTTGGAGTGGTTGGACCACGTTGAAGCGCACCGCTCTCGACATGACCGCCTGCAGCAGCTACAGTTCCGTTCGTCCTTTCCAAATGATTGGCACCAGCCTTGACGGTGAAGTTTGCGAGGCTGATATCTAAGGGGTTGCGAGATGCGACAGATGGCGAGCCTAAATGTTGTCAGCACATACGTTTCTCGACATTGCGAAGGTGCGATGGGTATACTTACCATAGTACTGCGCATTGAGCTCCTCAGGAGAGATGAACAGCTCGTAGTACCCTCTGTAGTAGCCTTCAGTCCACTGAAGCTCCCGGTTGTCACGCACGAGCGCTGCGGACCGGTCACTCGAATTCGCAATAGACCTACCAGCGCCATAACCGCTGGATGAAACGGCCGTGCCAGCAAACTCGACGCCGATGGCACCAGCACCAGTCGCCTGGTCGTATGGGGTCTCGTCGAGCCAGACAAGATCAGACACCCAGTTTGCATGAGAATCGCCAGCCAAGAAGGCAGTGTTCGGGATCTCGTTGCTGTAAAGGTGATGAAGAGTGCGGTTGCGGTTGGCAGTGTACCCGTCCCACTGATCGGCGTTCAGCTCGTTGCTGTACACTGCGCTGTTATTCATTCGGGAGAAGATGATCTGGTTACCGATGATCCTCCAGGTAGCACCGCGTTCATGCGACTCGGATAGCTGGTTGTAGAACCAGTTTTCCTGGCGGCTACCCATGAGCGAGCGGCCAGCATCGTCCTTGAGATCCTCGATGTATTCGTCGTTCCAGTTGAGGGTTGTGATAGATCGATCGTAGTTGCGAGTGTCGAGCATGATCAGGTCGAAGAGTTTGCCCATCTTGAAGTTGCGCCAGATGCGGAGATTGTCATCCATGTCGACCTGGCGAATGCTGCGGTCGTTATTAGCCACATCAGGGACGGTCAAAGCGAAACACGTACGGCATCCACTCGAAGTAGGCGCGAACAGCGTTCATCTTCCTGGAGTCAACGCTCACTCCTCCGAACTTCTTGAAGCTTTGTTCAGTGTTGTTCATGCCGCTAAAGCCATCGCGATAACCGTTGTTTGCAACCTCTGCCCATCCGTTAGTGGAGTAGAGGGGTGTCATGCCAAGAAACATACCATGATCATCCCATGTTGGAATCCAAGCAAAGTTCTGGTGAGCAAGACGTAAGTCATCATCGGTGCGGTACTGGCCGATCCTCGTTCGATAGTCTTCGAGACGGATCAGTAGCTGTCAGACCCAATGATCAGTTGCTTACGAACCGTAAAGTGTGACAATCTCCCGCGATGGGTTCGTGGCGCGCGGGTCTTGGCCGAGCTTGCCCTTGGTGGACTCATAGATGTAATCACCAAGATGAACCTTCATCTCCAGATTAACAGAGTCACAAATGCGCGTAATCATCATACTTACGAAGAAGTCAACTTGATCTTTCCTGGCAGCATTGCCGTACGCGTTGAAGTAACCGTTCTGCCAGTTAGAACAGGAGAAGATAGCAAGACCAACTTTGGAAACATCGTCGTCTTCGTCGGGGCTGGTCTTGGTTCTGCCGAGTGGGCTCTTGTTGGAGCTACCACAAACGTTGAACTGGTAGTAGTACTGGGTGAATGGGGACAGGTTCTTTGCTTCAATCTTCTCAGAATTAGCTTATCACCCGACATACCCGTGGCTTAGATCTTACCTTGACGGTGAAGTCGATGTCGGAAGTGGTATATGCTTGGCCTTGATCGACGATGCTGGAGAAGTTGCCGTCCGTACCAACGCGGTAGTCCACGCAAATAGGGTTTGGTGAGGCCTTGATGTACTTCTCTGTCTCGTGGTTGTAGAAGGCTACATTACCCGTAACAGTCACGTTCGATCTGTCGTTCTCGAGAGATGGCGCAATGCGTGTCCAGAGAATGACAGAGTCGGGATAAGGATCTCCAGAGGCGACGCCGTGCGTGAAGCTTAGCTGAGCCGGATCCCACGGAGTCGCCCGCTTGATGAGGCTTCTCTTCGCGACCTTCGGCACATCAATGCCAAGGCCTTCGTGTCGGCGAGAAGGCGAGTGGTAGTTCAGGTTGCCATCGAAAGATGCGCACACGAGCGACGCTAGAGGCGCCGCTGCAAGAAGGATTGAAAGCATTGCGAGGATCGAAGAAGCTTCGGTGACTCTCTTCTTGCATTTCGAATTCGCGAGACTTCAGAAAGCTTAAGTACTTCCATCGCACTTCAACGTGCCGTCCTTCGCGTATAATTTCATCGCCTTCGTACTACTCCGGCCGCCAACATTACCGCATCGTGCATTCAGTACAGTTCTGACAGCAGCTGTGGCCAATCGCATAGAGTGCATTGTAAGTGTGTAAAAGAGTGCCTGTTGATCGTCAACCGCGACATATGCACGATGCGCATGTGCCGGGAGGATGAGCTGAGATTGGCCGAGCGCGACTTCATCCCGCTGGACAGGCTAGCCCGTTGTGGGGATATGCAGCGCGTCGAACGTCGTTGATCCTGGCATGACATACAGTGCGTGAGGAGTCAACGCGACGATGCGGAACTGTAAGGCGCAGTCTTTGGGGTGACAGGAGAAGAGGGGTGGAGGGTTACTTGGCTTTCCAGCTCCCAGTCCGCGGAAAGAGATGGCGTTAAGATTAGAAGGGTTTAGCGCCAACCGCGCCGCATGCTAACCCTGGAGAACTCCATCGTCCATTCCTTCGACATCCACCTCGTCTAGTTTTCCAAAGAACTCCTGGGTCTCTCTATCATTCTTGACCTACACTTGCTGTACGTACGAGTTGCAGTGCGGATCTTGCCTTTCTTTCGATGCCCAATTCTCCGCTTCTAAAGCGCTTGCTTGCTTCTCTATCTTGATTCAACCAATCATTGCATCGTTCACACCCCGCCGTACACGTTCCCGTGTTATCCACGTTGCATCGTCGGAACTGCCATTCGCGCAAGAGCTATCACGGCATCGCTGATGTCGTTGTACCTATGCCGACCACGGAATGTTTAAACACGGAACATTACTACTGCGTGGGAAGCCCCCCGGCTTGCCTAGACCCTTCACGCTATGCAATGCGGTACCGCTTCATAAAAGTCCCAGTCCCTGTCTTCTTCCTGGAGTTCGTATGAAACACACCATCTTCTCCAGGGAGGTGTATCAGCCTTTACCCTTTTCCAACCGGGGTGAGCTCCGGGACTATTACATTACGAAAGAAATGAAGGCCAGAATGATCAACATCTACGGACCCAAATTTGCCATTGAGCAGGATTATCGGCGATTGTTAGAGGATCATGGGTTGAACCCGGGGATGTTTCTATCGACCTATCGCTGAAATGGGCTCATTAGGTCTCACACGGTTTATGCAGTCATGCCTAATGTGGAGGATGTCGCCCGAGCTGTCGCAAAGGTCCAAGGTGCACTCCTATTTGACACCAAAGTCCGCGTTCGACTACCATATCCTGATGAAGGATTATTCTCCAAAGTACCTCAGATCGAGTGGGGCTGGTATGCTACGAATGGGCCAGGCATCGAGAATATACGGTTGCGTGCACCTTTGCTGTCCCCACCGGTCGATATATTTAGGCCGATCAAGGAGGGTGCGTTCTGCCTCCGTTGTGAAAGCAAATAAACTTTGACTAATCTGGTTCAGCCCGCCAGGTACTTGTGAAAAGTTGTCAGGACGTATAACCCCGGGACTTGCGACTAGAAGTTTATAATCTGTTCCACTCTTTTGATGTGGACGTCTTTGAGATGAGCAGATTAAAATCTGGGCAATGGTTTATAGTTCTCCATTTTCTTCATGCTGAGCAAGCAGAGATTGCTCGAACGACGTACAACGAGTATACACTACCGAGCGGCCATCGAATCAAGTGTATGTCTACAAGGGTGCCGAGGCACTTCTTAAAAGATATGCCTTGGGCATCCAGTCGGAGTGAAGGGTGAGTTGTTCACCCGCACAGTTTTGGCCGCGATGCTAATGGTGTCTTCGCTAGGCATGAGTCCCACTCCGAACGAGGTCTAGTCACGGGCAAAAACCTCGAGCATGTAAGCCATCATCCTTTTACTGACACCGCTCTTCGATACAGCGAAGTCGACATTGCTAACCCAAACGATAGCTGCAAGAGGATGTGTTTTCGCAAGTGGTTGTTGGGCAAGAACGATCGAGGTCTCTGGGTTCCTGGGTATGATTCATGATAGTACAGCTGACTTATTCGTGACTAATGGCTGCAACAGGCACAAATATTAGACAAGAATTTATATGATCTCCATAAAGATAACACATCCCATCTAATCAACCTTGTAAACAAGCTTAACACCCGAAACCTTCCCATCCTTCAAATCCTGCAACCCCTGCGGCACACCCTCCAACCCACTCCTCACCTCAATTGGATGCGTCTTCAGCTTGCCTTGGCCAAACCACTCCTCAGCCTGCTTCCAGAACCTAGCGCCAAACTCGTAGTCCTCTTGACTAGCGCCAACCTTCTCACTGTACGCTTCACCCAGAGCCGTGTAGGCGAAAGTGAACTTGGTCTTCACATCGCTCCTCGGGTAGTTGTTCACGGGCAGGAGCGCAGACATGTGACCACCCGTGGAGCTAATAGCCGCAGCTGTGATGTCGAATGAGTTTCCTTCGGCGATACAGTCGAAAGCCAGTTTGAGCTTGTCGTTAGTCGCCTCGCGGATCTTAGCGCCCACATCAGCGTCTTTGTAGTTGAAGACTTGATCGGCGCCTAGTTTGCGGAGGAGATCGAAGTTGTGCGGTGAGGATGTCGCGATGACTTCGCAGCCTGTGTGCTTTGCGTATTGGATGGCGAGGGTGCCTGTTGCGGTGGAGCCGCCGTAGATGAGGACGGGTGTTGGTGATTGGACCTTTGCGGGTGGGAAGGGTAGGCCGAGTTCTTGGTAGAGGCCTTGGGCTACGGTTGTGATGCCGACGCCTAGAGTGGCGGCATCTTCGAATGACATGTTGGACGGGATCTTGAGATTGATTCCGTTCTTGGCTTTGACGTGCTCGGCAAAGGCGCCGTTGGTGTGGTCTGCTGGGTCGCCTGGGATGTGTTAACAACCAGCTTCATTGTTGTTCAGTAGTGTTCGTACCTCCGCGAACGAATCCAGCAATGCGGTCTCCAACCTTGTAGTGTGTTACATCCTTGCCAACTTCCTCAACTTCACCAGCATAATCGCATCCAGCAATAGCACCCGGCGCCGCAGCCCTATCGATGTTCTTCCAATCCGTTGGGTTTAGTGCTACAGCCTTGGTCTTGACAAGCAGCCAGTTCTCAGCCGGAAGCTTAGGAATAGGGACGTCATTGCGCAGTTCAGATACGCCTGGAGAGACGTGAACTACTGCTCTTTGCGTAGACATGTTGCGAATGTGAAAGGATCTTGGGAGTCTGGTATGCAAGTTTCGGAATTCGGTGAGATGGGTGAAGATTATTTTCATCGTTTATAAAACTAGACTGATTGAGATCCATTTCTGCTATGATGCAAGATGTACTAGTGGATTTGTAATGGGAGGGGACTACCGCGTCATGCAGCCTTCTTTAGGACTACCCGTGGACGGGCGGAGCGGAGTATGTTCGGCGAATTCTGTGGAGCATGCTGAGTATACTGGAAGGACAGTGAATGTCGATTACTTGTAGTGTGTCGTGACATGACATGCTATGGCCCGGTATGGCATGACATTTGACACAATATGTGTGTGGTGAGTGCCGTTGTAGCAGTCGCTGACAGGAGTGTGACCTCGGGATGGTCCAAGCTCGGACTGCGCTAACTTTGGTGCAAGGGTCCAGCATCGCGACAGCTCCACGCGTAGCTTTCCTACTCTAACCCCAGCGCATACAATCGTCCTGAAGCCTGCCGAGCGCAAAATTTCCGATTGCGATCATGGACGAACCTCAGCGACCGCCAACACCCGATGACGAAGACATCAAACTCAACTTCTTCCCCGACCCCCCGCCTTTCTACAAACACTTCACGACCGAAAACCTCGCGCGACTCAAAGAAATTGAGAAGGAAGCTGCGCCTGAAGATGACGAAACGAAATCATCGCCCGCGTATGCATCGACGAAGCTCACCGCAGAGCAAATCCTCGCCCTACCGACCGAACTTCGCTACCTGATCCCACCCGAACCGCCCGCCGACGATGCCGAATTCCACGTCTTCGGTACAAAGGAAAAGGCAAAGGGCAAAGATGTCTTCCAGCAAAACATGGACTTCATAGCCGAGCAGCTGAAATGGCAAGACGTCTTCCCAGACTGGTCGTACGAGCAACTCTACCCTTCCTCCTCCACCGAGCCCACGACCGACGACCCCTCCGCGCAACCGCCTACGGCGAACAACTCCGCGTCTCTCGACCGGCAAAACTATCTCTTCCGATTCCTGCGCAGCATACTCATGAGTTACATATCGCTACTCGGCATCGTGGCAGCGAACCCGACGTCAGAGCAGAAAGACCAGAAACTCAAGGATATTATGACGCTGGTCGCGAATATGCATGCGCTTATCAATGAGTACCGGCCGCATCAGGCGAGGCAGACGCTCATTGCGAAGATGGAGGAGCAGGTGCGCAAGAAGAGGGAGGAGGTCGAGGGTGTGAGGAGGATAGGGGAGAAGGTTAAGGAGGTGCTTGCTGGATTCGGTGGGGTTGACGGGGAGGATAAGGCGGGTGATGGTGGTGAAGAGACACTAGAGGATGGTATGAGGGCGAGGGAGGAGGACAGAAGGCGGGTGCAGAGGGGTATGTGGGAGGCTATTGGTGAGGTAGTGGGATAGGACGCGCGATGTCAGGCAATCGTTACGACGAATGGCATTTTCTTCAGAGGCGACAGAAGCTGTTCCTTGTTGTGAAAGCGCAGTCGACACCCTAGCTCACTTCTGAAGCCGGCACATAACGCGTCTCCCGTATCAGCGCAAAGAAGCGTCAGGGTGGCTTTATAAACATCGCATACGTCAGACTTCAGACCCACTGCGCCTAGTATACATCGCAAGCAAGCAGCCGCACTGCCTGGTTTCTGGGATGGTGTTGGGCCTTTATGGATTGCTCCAAGACATACCGACTTCATCTATTTACACGAGGGACTTGTCTTCCTTGGCTGCTTAAAACCAATAGCAGGTTCTATATCTGAAGCTATTTACGAGGTATCAATGATGCGGACGCCGACAAGTTCTCGTTCGCCTTCTCTTCCGTCACGAACCGCACCCGTCGACAATGAACGCCACTATGCTTGTCCCAAACCATTCTGCCTAGCTTCTTATCCTTACCCTTAAGGGTAACCGCATTACACAATCCGTCGCGGTTATAGTGCGATACCGCATCTAAGTCCATAGTCAATGCCACGAGAGTTGGCTCACGGACGACTTTCGATGTAACTCCGGTAATCTTCCAAACGATCGACAGCATCAAGGCGGCGATCGAGAGAAGTGCATTCATAGCGAACCACCCATAGAGTCGTGTTCGATTGATAGAGGCGCGGATCACTGATTCCATTTGTACTGCCGAGGCGGTTTCGTTCGAAGATTTGAGCTGGTATAGTAGCGCGGAATGAGTCGAGTAGTATGCAGCTGTTAGCATCCCGTGGATATATCCTTCTAGATTATTGTATCGGAATTCTCCGCCCACGTTCATGAGGACTAGATCCCGCAAGACATCCGTCATCAGATCTAAAGTCGGTAGTACCGCAAGATCGGGCTCTAGATCAAGCTCTGTCGCTAGGGATCCAATGGTTGGAACTGCGATGTGCATGTTGTCCGCGGCACCGACAAGCGTGATATCGCAATCTTGTCGGTCAACCTTCCCAGCTGTCAGGGTAACCTCGGCAAGTAACCAACAGTCGTACGCAGCCCAGCTACCATCGTAATTCCAGCTGATGCGCAATTGATGGGCCGTGGGTAAATTTCCGAAGATTGTCGTGGTGTTTGGGCATTGGGAATCCTCGGTACCTTGATCTGTCCCTATGGTGCCTACAATGACAGGAACGGTCTGTTTACCCTCGTAAACAACAGCTTTGTACCCGCCCGAATCTTCAATTTGCCACTTTGTGGGCTGCAGGAAACCCAACGAGCCCCCTCTCCTTGCTAACGGTGTCTTGTCCATCATACTTCCATTTTGGAAAGGATCCTCCGTGCTGAATTCGTCTGGCCAAGGCACCCATCTGACATCTACAACCTTGAAGACTGGCATCGACATGCTTCCAAGGCCGCCTTGAGGGAATTGTGGGCTAAGGTATAAAAATCGCCTCGGGGATTCTTGATGAGAACGATTGAAAGCGCCTGCAAAATCTGGGCTTCTGATACCCATGGTAGCAGCCTTGAGGGCGATCTCTTGGATAGTTTCTGGGTACATAAACGCCGGCCAATCATTCTTTGGTTCGATGAGCGGTGGTGCGAGGTCTTGGACTTGTGAAAGTATCATCCGCGTGGAAGGAATCCATTGTATCGATGAGTTCGCAAGGGGTGCCGCTATAGAGGATGGCCAAATGAGGGCAATGACTATGATCGTGAAGAAGGACCTAGAAGATGTACGCATGGAGTCAGCCTCGGCCTCAACTAGTGCAAGTCACTCTCACCAGAATATCTGCTGAGCCGAGTACCAACGCGGCATGATTGGTATCCTCGAGTCTACCATACGACAGAGCTCCACCAGCGTAACGCCAGCCTTCTCAAGAAGGATAAAGACGAGTCTCCAAGTGATGAGAGCCGAGCCCACCGCCGCTATGAGTCGAATGACTACGAGTGTTGCGGATACCAGCGCAGTGACTTCCGCCTGGTAGAGTCCGGATCCATCACGGCTGAAGCCCGATGTCGATGCAATCATGAAGGCGCGCCCATCGACCCAAGTAAACATGACGAGAAGAAAGGCTGCGCAAAGACCAAGATGAAGTGGGAACCAGAGCCATGCTTGGAAGGAGTTCCATACGCCTCGATCGTCGCGGCGAATCTTGCATGCTTGATCGCGGCCCAGAAGACCTTCCATGCTTATGTCCTGGTTCGTCATATCGAGAGAACGGTAACGCAGCCTTTTGATACGAGGAGGTGCTTCGAAGAGTGGAAAGGTAGTCGCGAGGTGTGGTGAGTTCGAAGAGTCGCGAACTTCGCAAGGTTGAGGAAGAGGCGAAATGATGTCAAGAATGGCGGATGGGCCAGGCGTAGACGCATCCAGTGACTATATAGTCGGCATGCAGCTCAGCCTTGGGTAGACAAAGTCGCGCATGCGGCTTCCAAGACGACCTAGGTAACGTACGCGAGCAAATTACGGGATTCAGCTGTAGGGGTGGTTCGAGTAGGAGTTACTGCATTGAGGCGTAGAGTCTTGCACAGTCCGATTGGACAGTATTTCGCATATAAAAAGCGCCACTGTATGATGCGGGGGCGGACGGCATGTCAAGAATAGCTATCGCAATCATACCGTATACCAAAGTACAATCTCAATAATCAGTCCGACCCAGTACCAGACCGTGTTTCGTGTCAAAGGCACACTCTATTCGTTTTGAGCATGTCAAGAATAGCTGATAGAATAGGTGTAGACGCATCTGGCAGACTTACCATTAATCAACCCAGATGACATGCTTCCAGTCCTCTAGGGTTCATTCTCTGTGATCCGTCGCCCACTTTAGACGGTCACTCTTCATCTGCTGTAGGGCTGGATGGGCTTTGTAAATAATACAGGCGGCGGCTTAGGTCCTTTTGCTACTCTGGCCATGACGTCATGGCACCTGCCGTCCTGCAGTCTTCCAGGAACACCGATCCAGAACCTCCCCAGGACTGGCCTACGATCATTCTCAGCCACGCCCAAAGCCACATTTTTTTTATTGATCAGCTGTTCCTCCATCGTTCATCTCATTGTTTCGGAACTTCCCGCTGTCGCATGCGCCGGTTGATGTTGTGCTTGTGACACCGACGTAAGGCTGAACGGACTCCAAAGTTGGCACGCGCTCAGCCCTGGTGCGCAGACCGCCAAATACTCGATAAAAAAGGCAACCACAGCTGATTTTTGGCGAGTTCAGCCTCTGACCGACTGTCCTTCAGCCTACAAACGCCTAGAGATAAGCAAGTAAGACGGGGAGGACTGCTATTTATCCACACGCGACCACTTCGTTACTATCGAATCTCTCCGCGCTTCTTTTATTGATCAATTCACGTTTCGTTAATCTTCTGGTCTGCGCTGCGCTCAACTTTTCCTTACCAACTCTTCGCCATGCCTTCCACGACTTCAACGAGGCCAAGTAAGCGCCTAGCCATCTTCTGTGACGGAACATGGGTAGGTCGCGAAACCCAAGTCGAAGACGCGCCTCCAAGCAACATCCGCCAACTCGCCAACATGGTCGGCGAAGTACAATACTCCACGGACGACAAGACAGCCGCAAA